GACAGTTTGGAGAGATTTATTGTGTATTTTTATGCATATATACTTCTAAACTGTTGTATTCTGGGCACCTCTGCAAAAACAGTGATTATGTGTGAGTGAGGTGAAAGTGTTGAATGATGATGAAAGTATTTTCTTTTTGGGGATTTTCTTTCTCTTTGGGTCACCCTGTCTCGGTAGGAGACGGCCGACTTGCTGGAAAAAACAAAATTATAGGAAAACAGTGTCTGCAGTCTCAAGGAGGTTTGAGGATGTTTAGAGTTCTGGCAAGATGATTGCGTTAAAAAATACAATAAGCTTTTCCATTTGCTTGCATACATGTGGAGTGGGGGAAAAAATTAAGTGTGTCTTGCATTAAATGAGATTTTTTAAAGGTATTGTTTTGTCCAGCAGAAGCTTTCTCCAACCAGTATGTACAGTACATGGACATGATGAGTATACGTATACATATGAGAGGAGGGTAGGAGAGCAATGTGCTTGTTTTTGAAGTAGGGTAGTACAGTATTTTGTGAAGGAATTCAGGGAAACCAGTTAGCCAGACTTGAGTCCTGGAGGTGGGAAGTACAATGCCTACACTTTAAAGGAGGGGTTTGGGATATTTGCTGTTTGTAGTGACATCTGAACTGTAGTATCTGCACACACCTGCAAAGACAATGATGTGTGTGAATGATGGTGAAAGTGTTCCTATTTTTGGGTCACCCTGCCTTGGTGGGAGACGGCCAGTGTGTTGAAAAAAAGAATCTTGTTAGACTATCAGAGATGATATTCTGTGTATAACAGTATGGGAGACACACACGTGCTGTCTCATGCACTTGTACCTCTGAGCGTTTGATTCTGGGATAATCAGATGGGTATCACGACACATGGCGAGTGTTCTAAAACTCCAGATCAGTGCATAAGCCACTCTGCCAGCTGGCTACAATAAGACTCATCCAACTAGGTATATTTCTGTCCTTCCATCTCCAAGGTAATCTGTGGGGTTCTGATGCTGCGCAGAGGCACTGGAGTTGTAGCATCTGCTGGCATAAATGTATTTCTTAAAGCATGTTTCGAAGGTGCAGGATGTTTCTCCAGTGTATGCTTTTTCACAGCCCCCACAGGAAATAGTGCAAACACCTGTATGGACTCTTTAACCCGTAAACGGTCCAAACGTATATATACGTTTTTTCAACATTTGAAAGTATGTAAAAAAGTAGATCTTTTTGTTTTTTTACATTTGAAAATGTGTAAAAAAAACTTTGATCTACTTTTTTTTTTTGTTACATTTGAAAATATGTAAAAAACGTAGATCTACTTTTGTAGCACTACACATGTGAACATAGATCTGCTTGGATCGTTTACGGGTTAAGATACACATTTTTGAATGTCAGACTATGTACACAATATTCCTTGTCAGATTTACTGTCCTAGAAATTTCTTTTGCCGGATCCACTTGTTTTTTAAAGATTTTTTGCAAGTTTTTGAAGCAATACATACCTCAGCACTGTGTAAATCTCATTAAAATATGAAATAGTATGCAATACATACAGTATGCAAGTCTTTGAATTGTAAAATATACTTTAATTATTTGGAGTTTCATGGTAGCCGTTTTGGGAAGAAATTAGATTTTAACATCAGGACGATATTATGTGGTTTATTTTAATTTTTACTTATTTGTGTATATCACTCAGAAAATTTACATTTTGAAAACATGCAAGAAAGAAAACTGAATATTTTGATCTTTATACTGGGACCATTCTCAAAACAAAAAATGTTCTGAGGAGAACCCCCGGTGTATGGCTCAAAATACAGCAGTCACGGTTTTGTTTCTTGTTTAACCCTTTCAGGGTCCAAGGCCCAAATCTGGAGTCACGCACCAGTGTCCAAGAATTTTCAAAAAAAAAAAAAATTATTTTTTCTTGTGAAATCGTAGAGAATCTTTTTATGAAGGTAATAAAACAAAAAGTACGAAATTTGGTGGAAAATTGACGAAATTATGCTCTCGCGAATTTTGATGTGTCAGCGATATTTACGAATCGGCGATTTTGCCGACTTTGACTCCCATTTTAGGCCAATTACATTATTCCAATCAACCAAATTCTTAGCTATTTCACTAGTATTACTTCTATTCTATCGATTGAGCACAAGAAATCGCCAAGTCAACTGTTTCAACTACAAAATAAAGTGATCGGAAATTGTTAATTTGGCCAATTTAACACAAAGTTCAAAATATTCCAATTTCAAAAAAGGGTCCAGAATAAACAATGTAGGCATTCCTGGCACTAAACTAACATTTCCTCTGTTCATTAGTTATGTTTTGAGGCTTTACAAATAAATTCCATTTTGATATTTTATTCACATAATGAATTTTTATTCACACCAAAAAATAGAAGATTTCCTGTTATGCAATACTGTAATAATTGTATAAATATCATCACCATATTTGTGAATGTATATTAGACCCACCAGCTGACGTGTGTTAGACGTGTGAGGTCATTTGTTTACTCTTGAATATCGGCAAAAATTTAACATTTCTGCTACTTTGAGCTCAGTTTCAAGCCATTTCCAGTGCTAAAAGCAATCAAAATCATCTCTATTTCTGTAATATGTCTTCCATTCTATCAAATGAGACCAAGAAATCGCAAATACAACTATAAAAAACATACGAAAAAACACTGCAAATTTGCTGTTTTAATCGAAAAATCATGATTTCATTTTTTTTCTCTCATTATACACAGTGTGCTGCAGGATCTGTTTTATGTGGTGCACACATACCACATAGATGTATTCTCTCATATCTAGGCCCAAATGTACCACTCACAGTTTATCAGAGTGAGCTGAGCTCATGGCGTAGATCTACAGTTTGGACCCTGAACGTAAAGCCGTAGATCTACGGGACGGACCCTGAAAGGGTTAATTTCAAAATTTGGATTATCTGAGTTATTTTCAAGTGTTCCATTACACGTTTTTATTTTCTGATATGTGAATATATTTTATTAAGCTCTGTATATCTTGAGAATACCTCTTTTGTTTGATTACAAACTTGAACTATGTATGGCCATAAGGACAGGAGAGAAGGATCATTCGATGCTGTTGAAAACTCTTAGAGAGGACAGTAGAAGAGGAGAATTACTTGTAATTAGCATACTGTATACAGTGGACCCCCGCTTAACGATCACCTCCAAATGCTGCCAATTATGTAAGTGTATTTATGTAAGTGCATTTGTACGTGTATGTTTGGGGGTCTGAAATGGACTAATCTACTTCACAATATTCCTTATGGGAAAAAATTCGGTCAGTACTGGCACCTGAACATACTACTGGAATGAAAAAAGTTCGTTAACCGGGGGTCCACTGTATAAGTTGGATGTACAATATTAAACCTAAGTCAAAATACAGTGGACCCCTGCTTAACGATCACCTCCCAATGCGACCAATTATGTAAGTGTATTTATGTAAGTGCGTTTGTACGTGTATGTTTGGGGGTCTGAAATGGACTAATCTACTTCACAATATTCCTTATGGAACAAATTCGGTCAGTACTGGCACCTGAACATACTTCTGGAATGAAAAAATATCATTAACCGGGGGTCCACTGTAAATGGTTTTGGAGAAGGCAGCGGTGATGCACATACAATACACATCAAAATTCAGTGCTGTTCCATAATTATTTACATAGTTTGTAGCCTACTGGATTTTTATTAAAATTATGTATTTATTTCAAGGACTTCAATAGACTTAAAATCATTTACTGGTAATATTTCTGTATTGGTAATATCTACTGTATGTAGATAAGACTGCAAATCTCTATAATATAGAATTGTGTATTTTATGTTGTGAAGCATACTTAATTCAAATTCAAAGTTTATTCTCTATAAGGATTACAATGCTGAGTTTACAGAATTTGGTTATTGTGTGGTTTACATGTTATAAAATACTAATTACAGAGTGTACCACTAGAACATCTAGCATGGCTAGGCATTTCGGGCAGACTTAGATTAATTCTTAAGTTTAAAATATTACAAATTATGAGGTAAGTTGGTATTATGGCTAAGTGACTAAATACTAGTTTGTGAGTTTAGCAATGTGAATGCTTTTGTTTTGGCACAATACATAGTTTCAGTATTGGAGTATCACAGGATGTTAAGTAATGCAGTGTATTACAATTATTCTTTCATTTAATCTCCCCACTCATACAAAGGGCATATAAATTCGTGACAGGTAGGAATAGGTTAACAAATGTAAACTTTTTTAGTGATGGGAACTATTGTGAATAGTGCACATCATTGGGATAATCCCTATTGTGTGAATGCATCATTAAGGTAACCCCCGTTGTGTGAATAATTCATTGGGATAATTCATAGTGATTCATATCAGCTGTCTGGGGGCATGTATTCCTAATCATAACATTGTAACATAATATTTATGTATTAACTGGAATGTCATAAACACTTAGTGTAATGAAAAATCCACATGGAGACAGAAATGAAACTACAAATTTGGGGCATTGGATATTTTTGCCTCTTATTCTAGAGAAGGTCTCACTAAAAGACTAAACTATGCAGCCTCCTAATCTGTTGTTATATATGTCTCCTTGTAGTTTTTTGGATTAGATTATACAGTATCTTAGGAATATATAAATGTAAGATTTTTCTTTCATCTCTTCTATGCATTAAGCTTTGGCAGGTCAGTGTCATAAACGAGCTACTATTTTCCTTTTTTTCTTCAAGTATTGTTCTAGAGCTTAAGTATTAATTTAATGCTTAGTATTTGCTTGCTGGGATGTAGCTTAATGCTTTTGATTGTGCAAGCTTTGCCTATAATATTTGCTTCATAGATACTTTTCTTAAAATAGTGTATGCCAGTGCATTAAACATCTTATATGTGGCATTAATACATTAATTTTTTAAGGGGGAATGGTGCATCAGTTGTCATTGCTATTAATTTTTTGTGAGTGACAGCCGCTTGCATTTCTCAACACATTTTTGAAGAGAGCTAAATTTTCAAGTTTTAATGCATTTCAGGATAAACTGATGTCTGATGCCCCCATGGGATCAATTGAAAGTGTTGACAGTGTGAATGTCAGTGTTTTGACCTCTGAAAATGGCTCATTCCTAGCTGCTTCTACCAGCACTGACCCACAGGGCAAGATGGTGAGTGCTCCTTTGCTTGCTCTTGCTGAGCCCTTGCACACTATACACCATGTCCTCCAGCTTACAAATGCTACAATTTACACACATCTGCACTTACAAATGGAACCAGTTGAATTTTTACAGCTGCTAGGTTGCAGTGCAGGTATAAAACATAACAATCCTTTGTACTATTCTTTTTATAATTAATCCCTTGTAAATTAAAAAATCATTAATGCAACTCATTTGTAAGTTAAAAAATTAGAATGAAACTCAATTGTAAGTTGAGGGATGTCTTGTATTGTCTCTACCTAACTATCTTATACCTTGAGAGTGTGGTTCCTGTAGTATGATGGGAAAAATAGTCCGTAGTACTGTATTTAACAGTGAAATCTTAAACTCTTTTCTAAGTCAAACTAACTATGATTGTTTCACACTGATTTAGCTACAGTATCCAATTTACAAAATTCCTGAAGTAGAAGTAATTTTGCGCATGAACAGCACTCACATCTGTTGCAAAAGTAATGAGTTACATATTTGGCAAATACAGTAAGTGCAGTAATTTAAATATCTCATCACATGGATTGATTTATACTATGCCGCCCTTCAAGAAGAGTGCTTGAATGTTGGTAAAGGGAGCCTGATCCAAGGAACTAGAGCTACCCTCTTCCTCAGGTTGAACCTAATTACCCCCACTCCTTCCAGTTTTAGGCACTTTGACCCTTACAGGTTTAGTGCTGTCCATGAATATATAACTAACAATTTGACTATCATTAAAACAAGTAGTGTATGAAGATGCAGCATAATTCAGGAGTGTGATGTATGTATTGTATTTTTCATTAACTTGAGGCTTAGCTGTACGTATCTAGTTTTATATAATATTCATGAGGAAACGCTAAACCTGTAGGAGTCAGATAATCAGATTTTACTGGAGGAAGGGGAGGGTAGCTCCAGTTTCTTAGATCAAGAGTTCTTCAGTAGCATCAAGGCAGCTAGTTAGGTAACAGTTGTCATTGCATGTGCCATTCCCTTCAGCCACAGATGTCTCTGTGGAGCAGGGCTGCTTGAGTATACATTTTATATTTCCTCTGCAAAATCTTTTAAAGAGGTGCAGTGATGCCCAGGGGAAGGGCTCAAGATCCAAGAAATTGGAGCTACTCTCCCCTTCCTCCCCAAGGCACTGTATAACCCCTAGAAATGTTTCTCTGAGAATATATTGTAATGACATTTCCAAAGTCAAGCCCGATGAAGCTGCTCCACTTAGTACTTGTTCTTTGTTGGTTCATGTGCACTTGACCGATTAATCATACTCACATTTCTGTTACAAATTACAGTGTACAGATAGTTGTAAAAAGGCCTTAATCTTCCTCTATTAATTTAATCTTAAATAATTTCTCTATATGCCCCTGCTGGGTGGCCTCTACATCTTTATAACTAATAAACTTAATGTTGGAACTGATAAAGGACTTTTCCTTGGCAGCTGCTGTCTACCAGCCTAATGCAGTACCTGTGTTTCACACTTGTATGACAGGACAGTGAAGAACTTTCATGGGTGGATGCTGTCTATCAACATATTACTGTACTTAAGTTTCACACTTGTATGACAGGAGGACAGTGAAGAACTTTCATGGGTGGATGCTGTCTATCAACATATTACTGTATTTAAGTTTCACACTTGTATGACAGGAGGACAGTGAAGAACTTTCGTGGGTGGATGCTGTCTATCAACATATTACTGTATTTAAGTTTCACACTTGTATGACAGGAGGACAGTGAAGAACTTTCATGGGTGGATGCTGTCTATCAACATATTACTGTATTTAAGTTTCACACTTGTATGACAGGAGGACAGTGAAGAACTTTCATGGGTGGATGCTGTCTATCAACATATTACTGTACTTATGTTTTCACACTTGTAGGACAGGAAGGCAGTACCTCATTCAGTGGCTGCTCTATACCAGCCTCCTACCTAGTCTTTCTATGAAACTCATATTTCTTAGCTCAAGGGCTATTTTGTTGCTTTTTTTTTTTTACATTATCTACTGGTACGTGTTTATTTAGGTGCAAATTCCACACAGCTGTTGCATATGTCAATTTTGGTCTGATGTATGTTGTCAACATCATTTTAAGCATTTTGCTATTAATATATCTGAATGCCATTTTAAATTTTGCCAGTATAGTGTATGACTTTCTCATTACCTCATACATATATGTGATTTTCCAATGAATGTCTTTTGTCTATAATTGCTGCTAGTTTGCCCCTCTGTCCTAATATTTTATCACAATCAGTGTTCACATTTTTTAATGCATTATGGTTCCTTAATTCATTTAATAGTATCTTCTACATATCCAATTTTAAGACTAATTTTAATTTGGATCATATTTATTTGCCAATATATTTTGAGTATTTGTTTTTTGCAGCCCACATTATTATTCCCTGAGGATGATATAATGGAGGACAGTATTGTGGAAGAGGAAAGTTCTGTACAAGAATCTATGACTGCGGCAGAAGCACCTATAATAGAAGACGTATACATGAATAAGTCACTTACCAATATGGATACCCAGGGTAATAATTCTACAGACTCTCTTGCAATCAATTCAACAGACTTTTTAGGGACAGATTTGAATGCTGGTGAAGAAGGTGGAATTTTGGCAAGATTATTTAATTTTTCTCTGGAAGATGACATGACTCTCTATATCATCATTGGTACAACAGGTCTCACTGGTCTTATCATTGTCCTAATTATATCTCTTATAATATACCGGAAAAGGTACCCAGTTAGACTAGGTCTAGGGCGCAAGTTTGACACGTTCCAAAACCCTATCTATGAGAAGACTGTGGTAAGGATGCCGATGCAAGCAGAAGACACAGACGTGGAGGGGAAGAAGAGTGATGCTGAAGAAATGAGTGACTGCACTGTTTTAGAGTAAGTTAAAGAGAGTAATGTTATAATTTTACAACTACGGTAAATATTTTTTATTAAGTGTTATAAGATTGCAAAATGCTCGATTCAACAGAGCAAGCATTTGCTGAAGGGAATTTCCATGTGGCTTGAGTTTAAACTTTAGATCTGTACTCATTTTGAAAATATGATTACAAAATTAAATGTGATATTTTGTGATTACAGTACTATAGGCCCACTGGTTTTTACTATTGTCATAAAAGACTTTAATTAGCTCTTAACTTGCAAAAGCAAATTGTAACTGATACAGCATTTTGGGTCCAAGTTATGTGAGAGTTCGAATGCATATGTTTTAGCCCAACAGTATTAATCATGTATAAACCTGCTTATAATTTTGTAGCACTTATGTATACTAACCATGGATCCCATATCATAGCAACTAAGTGGAATGGAATGCTGAGTACTGGGAGTCCCTGACTTAAGAACATCTGAACTATGCTGATCTGTATTTAGAAATGAAGTCCAAAAGACATAATATTGAGAATATAATTGTTTTATGATTACAGATCTGAATTATAAGCATATGTAACATAATTATCCTTCCTACTATGATTTTTCTATAGGTTAAGTTCATAGTTACAAACGACTCGTTTGTAAGTTCAAACACCATATGCAACTTGTTCATAAGTTGGGGCCAACCATGTAATTGCCGTGGATGGGACCAATGACGTGGTAAATGAACGGAAGCAGAAATCTCACTCAAAATCTACTGTTCCTCAAGTACAGTATACATAAATACTCGCGACAATAGAACTTGGTAATCTACCCTGCCATGAATTATGCCCAAGCATTGACTGTTCTTTTATAAGATGATCCTCTTTTGTGTTATCACACGAGGAAGTAGCCAGGTTTAGCAGTAGTTTTTTATAATATAGTGTAGTGGTGTTATAACTGAAGTATACTTCTGACACAACTATCCTGGGTGTCATTATCACCTGGTCTGTTGTGTAACATCCTTTGCATACATTCTATGGGAGTAATGTTGGTATTCTTCATTATTCCCATTCTTGTTGCACACACTTTTGAAATCTCATTATTACTAATTAGTAATTGTTTTATATATACATATATAGTAAACTCTCTCATAACACATGGATTACATTCCAGAGAATTTGCATGGAATCTGAAATTGTGTTACATGGAAAATAGCATTACATCCCACACAACCTCAACGTTACCCAAAAAATAAAAAAAAAATTTTTTACTACTGTGCTAAGTAAAAATCACTACAGTATAACTTCCCTCACATTATCTTAGTCATTACTGATAGCATTTGAAGAGTATAGGGAAGGTTGACAAGGGCCTACTGGCTGAGGTGAGGTAGTTAACTAGTCATCTTATTTAACTGTAAAGACTTTTTTGACATTCTTTTGAGCAGGTAACAATCTAGTTTTTACTATACAAGCTCTTATTTTCTCTTGTTGTTTCTGACTGTACAAATAGTCAGTTTGTTCACACCAAAGTAATGGGCAGTTTCTATCTCTCTCTCACACACACACACACACACCTGGTCAAGCACGTCAAGAAGTTAGAGAAAGTACAAAGGTTTGCAACAAGGCTAGTCCCAGAGCTCAAGGGAATGTCGTACGAGGAAAGGTTAAGGGAAATCGGACTGACGACACTGGAGGACAGAAGGGTCAGGGGAGACATGATAACGACATACAAGATACTGCGGGGAATAGACAAGGTGGACAGAGATAGGATGTTCCAGAGAGGGGACACAGGGACAAGGGGTCACAACTGGAAGCTGAAGACTCAGACGAGTCACAGGGACGTTAGGAAGTATTTCTTCAGTCATAGAGTTGTCAGCAAGTGGAATAGCCTAGCAAGTGAAGTAGTGGAGGCAGGAACCATACATAGTTTTAAGAAGAGGTATGACAAAGCTCAGGAAGCAGAGAGAGAGAGGATCCAGTAGCGATCAGTGAAGAGGCGGGGCCAGGAGCTGAGTCTCGACCCCTGCAACCACAATTAGGTGATTACAATTAGGTGAGTACACACACACAACACACACACACACACACACACTCACACTCACACACACACTCACACACACACTCACACACACACTCACAACAACACTCACACACTCACACACTCACACACACACTCACACACACTCACTCACACACACACTCACACACACTCTAAGCATATCTAACTCTTCCATTTTCTTCAACATTGTAATAGATTCATGATTGTTCTTCTTGGTACCTCCAGCATCTTTAGTATTCCTCTCGAGTGCCATAACTAATGCCCCGAGATAACATGGGGTGATTCAAATATTCAGAATCATTTAATAAGAGTGAGGCACAAAATGCTGCCAGAATGCAGCTATAGGTGATGTGTATGGTGAATACAAGGGCAGCAATCATACCAGTGAAACTCTCAAAGTTTGTACGTCCAAGTTAAATCAGGAGAAAAATTATCACCTTTCAGTACCCAAATTTTGCTTACAATTTAAAGCTGTGTCTGTAGTGTTCTTTAACAATATTTTATGCTTACTGATTTTTGTTTAATAATTACTTCACGTAATAATTATCAGTGTTTTTCCCACACGAACACGTATTTTGAAACCTAAAAATTGTGCTACAAGGGGTCATGTTATGAGAGGGTTTACAAGCTTTAATTTTTTTTAGTTTTTTTTTTCTGCAGTGTATAAATTTTCTTGTATGTATATTATAACCTGTTTGTAGCTGTAGGAATAGAATTTATACTCGCAGTGTCCCATCTTGTTATATTTTTAAATTTTCCAATTATTTTGTTGTACTATTTCTTCTCTCATTCCAACCGTCTTCATCTGTTCGTGAAGAAATATTTTCATTATTCATTTTACACAGCTTCTTACATAGTTTAAAGTTAGGGCATTGTCATCACCGTATTGCTGGCACCTCTAAATTTTCACATTCTTTTGTAAATTTATATGTAGTTATTTCTGCTCTCCTGTCTTAAAACCAGGTCTTTTCCAGTGCCTTTAATACTTATTTCATAATTCTGGGATACATTTTGAGACCTGTGTATAAAAAACTTTTCCTGTTTTACTGTATTTTTGAGGTATGACAGCCATACCTCAGCTGCATATTCCAGTTTTGGTTTGACATGCGTTATTTTTTAACGTCATTTAAAAATTATTTGGTGTAGAATAAAATTTTCTCACTAATACATTAGCATGATTTTTCTGGTGATGATTTTTTTATTCACAGTCACCTCAAGATTTTTTTAATCCAGTGAGAAATAAATTTGATCATAGATGTTATTTGCATTTTCCATCTATCTGGAGTTTATCTGGAGAGAGTTCCGGGGGTCAACGCCCCCGCGGCCCGGTCTGTGACCAGGCCTCCTTAGGTCAGTGTCCCAGGATGCGACCCACACCAGTCGACTAACACCCAGGTACCCATTTTACTGATGGGGAACATAGACAACAGGTGGAAAGAAACACGTCCAATGTTTCTACTCTGGCTGGGAATCGAACCCAGGCCCTCACCGTGTGAAGCGAGAGCGTTAACCACCAGCCAGTAGCTCAGTGTTCTCACCTTTGGCTCATAAATGAAGGACCAGGCTCAATCCTGGGTGGGTGCAGATGTAGGGCCATATAGTGTTTCACCTGCTGCATATGTTCACCGAGCAGTTAATAGGGACCTGGGTGTTAGCAGACTGTTACAGGTGGCATCCTGGTGGGTGGTAGTATACCTTATCTAGGGCTGGCTTTCGAAATGAGCTGAGGTATGATAACAGATCTTAGCTTATGAATGACCTGAGGTAGGATAACAGATTTTATCTTGTGAATGAGCTGAGGTAAGATAACAAATCTTATCTTGTGAATGAGCTGAGGTAAGATAACAGATCTTATCTTGTGAATGAGCTGAGGTAAGATAACAGATCTTAGCTTGTGAATAAGCTGAAGTAAGATAACAGATCTTAGCTTGTGAATGAGCTGAGGTAAGATAACAGATCTTAATTTATGAATGACTTGAGGTAAGACAACAGATCTTAGCTTGTGAATAAGCTGAAATAGGATAACAGATCTTAGCTTATGAATGAGCTGAAGTGTAATAACATTGTAAATTCAACAATGTAAATAAAAATCATCCTCTTTTTACTCTGCTCATGTTATCTAAATCCTGTAAAATGTTAGTTATCTTCATTGATTACCTTACATCAAAAATTTATAACAAACATATTCATATACTGTATAATTAGTTATTCGTTTTGGTAAGTCATTCGTATAGATTGCAGCCTTTCCCTGCGGGACACCGTAAATAAAAATTCTTAATTATTTTTCATTGTTCTTGTAAGTAAAAAGTATCTTATCCATTTCAGAAATTTATCTTTTACATCTGCATTTTAAAAATTCCAAATTAATTTGCCTGGGGAACCCTTATCAAACACTCCCTTTAAAAACTGATATAAAAGTGACTTTTGAAATCGTAATAACGCGATTGCAGACAAACCACAGAACAGGTGGGATTTGAACCCATGACATATATTCATTCTTCTTCTTATTTTATCATTTCTATGACTCATAATAACTCAATAGTTTGGAAATACGGTAAACAATATAGCTGCTTTTCCTATTCTAGTTTTAAAATATCATCATAATATTTTATAGTACAGTGGACCCCCGGTTAACGATATTTTTTTCACTTCATAAGTATGTCCAGGTGCCAGTACTGACCGAATTTATTCCCATAAGGAATATTGTGAAGTAGATTAGTCCATTTCAGATCCCCAAACTTACACGTACAAACGCACTTACATAAATACACTTACATAATTGGTCGCATTCGGAGGTAATCGTTATGCGGGGGTCCACTGTATTCCATTTAATTGCCAGTGTATCTTCCTTTAATGAAGTTTGAGAGGTGATACAGAATGTATAATTTCATTCATCTGCACATTTCTTCAAAACTCAATTTGATACCTCATCTGAGCCTTCTATTTGTCAGTGTGTACATTAATAATTTTGTAAGTATCTCTGGCTTTTTCAGTGGGATTCAATTTCATTTATCTGTTTTGGATTTTAAGTTCAAATAATTAAAAACTTTTATTATGTAAGCACATCAAAAATATTATTTAGTATTTTAGATTTCTACCTCTAGTTAAATAATTTTATTGTTAGTCTTGATTCTTGATGGGCGGAGATGTGTTGCAGTTTTTGAACTATAGTATCAGCACACCTCTGGCAAGACAGTGAGGGAATGAGTGAGTGATGATGAAAGTGTTTCTTCTTTTTTGGGACACCCTGCCTTGGTGGGAAACAGCCAGTTTGTTAATAAAAATAATTCTTGAGTTGTGTAAGTGGGATCAGTGACTGCGCTCTGAAGGATCGGTGGATGTGTTGGAGTTTGGAGAGTCATTTGAAGGGTGATGTCCAGGGAAGGATCTACTATGAAACTATTGAAGCTTAAACTTCAGGGCACCTAATCCCGGAGAGGCTCCAGAAGTGACTTGAGTCTACATTGTGTAAAAATTTTGGGTTTACTGTATGAGAAGGGGCCCCCATAACAGTTCCAGCTTCAATGCCCCAAAAATGTAGGTCCGTGATTGACGATGAATGTGTCCCTATCCGAGGTATCCTGCCGTAGTGGGAAACATCCAATTTGTCAACTTTTTTTTGTACAAACCTGAGTTCTGTACAGATACTCTGCTTTATGATGACTCAGCTTACGATATTTAGACTTTATGATGGTGTGATAGTGATGCACATTAAGTTCAATACTGTACATTTATTGGTAGGATAAACTTATATTCAATTATTTTCTTTTCAGTACTGGTATTTAGTTACAGTAATTACTTGCTTATTTACTTATTCAGCCACAATAGTTATTTATCACGTATTCACATTCAACTGACAATATTTTCAACTTAGGATGAGCTCATCAGAACATAACCACAGAGATGGGACACAGCAACAAGGGGACACAGTTGGAAGCTGAAGACACAGATGAATCACAGGGATGTTAGGAAGTATTTCTTGAGCCACAGAGTAGTCAGGAAGTGGAATAGTTTGGGAAGTGATGTAGTGGAGGCAGGATCCATACATAGCTTTAAGCAGAGGTATGATAAAGCTCACGGTTCAGGGAGAGTGACCTAGTAGCGACCAGTGAAGAGGCGGGGCCAGGAGCTTGGACTCAACCCCTGCAACCACAACTAGGTGAGTACATCGTTAGTCAAGGAGCACCTGTATTGTGCTCGACGCTGGCTTAGTCATTTCTACTATTCCTGTTTCAAAGCTTCCCTCTGTTTTCCATATTTTAATTTATTAATTTCTACTTGTGTTAAATTTCTGGTAAGTTTGTTAGTTGGAATGGTTGAAGAATTGTTTACAAGTTTTTTCATTATTATATAACAGCTCTTAATGATTAACTATTCTTTCTTGTTTTGTCTGTTTATTAATTTGAGGAGTAAAATTTCTAGTATAATTTTATAGATTTAATTTTGCATTAGGAGGGTAATCTAAATTGCGTTGCCAACACACTCCTGGAAAGACAGCAGTTGAGTGAATGATGGTGAATGGGATTTCCTCTTCGAGTCACACTGCCTCGGTAGAAGATGACCATTGAGATAAAAAAAATTAATTTCTTAAATTTAATTTTTGCTTTGGGTTATTTTTTTTAACATGCTGGCCATCTCCAACTGAGGCTGGGTGACCCAAAAAAGAAGAAACTAAAAGTTTTTCTTCTTTATTCATTTAATAATTTATACAAGAGAAGGTCTGGAGTTTTATGACTCTCTGATCGTGGGTTCTATCCCCACCTGTGGTACGCTTTGTTTGCAATCGTGTCATTACGATTTCGTGAGTCAAGAGAAGGTGTTACTATCCCATTGTTCCTGGTATTTTAGTCATCCTGGTTAATTTTAACTACAGTAGCACCCCTGTATCCACAGGGGATACATTCCAAGACCTATCACAGATAGTAGCGAACCCTATGTTTAAGTAATTTTTCATTTACTTACATACCTATGATAAAATTTAATTAATAAATTACGCACAATAAGTTGAGAATTAGTACTTTTTCACTGATGGGAAGCACAGCTTCTCTTAGGCTTTGAAGAACTGTCACCATCATTACCTTTGTACTTCGGTGTCATTATTAAGCAAAATGAAAAGTTATTTTTGGGTCAGGGTAAACTGTAGAAACTGAATCCACAGATTTGACGGTCCTGCTGTATTGTTCATGAAAGATTTACGGTTTGGAGATTCACTTGAATTGTGGTGTGTGCACACTTCTGTCAAGACAGCTGCTGAATGAGTTATGATGAAAGTGTTAACTTTTTTGGGTTGCTTTACTTTGGAGGGAGATGGCCAGTGTTTCAAAATATTGTTGCTCTCTGTTATACAAGTACAGTGTCTGCATCCTGAAGGAGGGGTGGGGAGGGGGAGGGAAGTTGACGTTTAGAGGGTTAGTTGAATTGTGACATCTGAACACTTCTGGCAAACAGCTGTTGAATGAATGATGATGAATGTATTTCTTTTTTGGGTCACCCTACCTTGGTGGGAGTTGGCTGGTGTAGTAAAAATAAAGTTTCTGTTGGGTTTTCTGTGGGTTGAGAACTATTTTATTAAGGTCTCCATCTGCATTACTCTTCTGCAAAGGTAAATAAAATTTTACAGTATTTAATTCCTTGGTTTATTTATTATATGTATTTTTTTCAACACCGACCATCTCCCACTGAAGAAGGGCAACCCGAAATAGAAGAAAGGAAAGTTTTTCTCCTTTTTACATTTAGTAATTTACACAGAAGGGGCTACTAGCCCCTTCCTCCTGGCATTTTGGTCGCCCTTGTGATATGCATGGCTTACAGAGGAAGTATTCTTTTCCCCTCCCCATGAAAATCTCTATATTCTATTAATTTCTTATTTTGAGTCTCTATACTTGTAGTTTTATTTTTCTTAAATCTTTAGCCTTGTTTAAAACCTTCTCCATCCCTTCATGGGAGGCACTTTGATGCTCTTGAAGAGCTCTTGATCTAAGGAATTGGAATTATCCTTTCCTTGGATCAAGCCTAATTGCCTGCCATTCCCAGGTACAACCCCCTTTGGGTTTACCACTTCCTTGATTATAATAATAATAACTATAAAGCTTTATATGTGCTGTGTGTAGCAGAGTTATGTATCATTAACAAGGTATAATGCAGTAGTTTGGATTTTGTGTGTAGGTATTTACTTCTAAGTGTGTGTGAGTGATGGTAAGGACCTTCAGTGTGTGTTGTAGAAATGTAGTGATGTGTGAACAAGTGGTGAAGGTTATATGGCAGTTCTGGGGAAAGTAAATTTCTGATCCTTAAAACTTGAATTAGAAAACAAAAATATTAGAACATAAGAATATAAGAAAGAAGGAGCACTGCAGCAGGCCTACTGGCCCATGCCTGACTTTTTGGGTTATCCTAGGTTCTCTACACATATGCTGCTATGTATGATAATTCTATGTAACTGTATTTGTGTATACCTGAATAAACTTACTTACTTTTATGCTAAGCAGGTTCAAGTCACCTATTTATTTTGTTTATTATGTGAAGTTATTATGTTTAAGTTTTATTGGCTTAGATGCACTTTCAGCTATGCTCTTGTTAAATACAGTAAACTCTTTTTTAAGGCAACATTGCATAGTACAATTTTGTGTAAATACAACTGATAAAGTACATTCAGAAGTTCCCTGTATCCAAGCAATGATAGTTTTAATAATGAAGTGGATTTGACAAGATGAAGTTTGTTTCTGCAGTAAACTATTACAATATTTATATTTATCAAACTATGCAGGCACCTGTTCAGGACTGTCTCAACAGGCTGCATACTAGTCTTACCTTTTAGCAAATTACTCATTCTTACAAAAAAGTTAACAAGATTTTGAATATTGTTTTGTATGAATCTGAACTTTTGTTGTTGTTTTTATTTATTATTTATTATTATGGAATATAAATTGGATAGTGAAGGAGGGGTGGGGGCCATTCAAGGAAGGGTTGGACTGAGGGGGTTAAGAGATGTTTTAAGTATTAGGGGCTTTGACATCCAACGGGCAACTGATTTTTATGATTTGATAGGCTGTTGGAGTGCAGGCAAACTAACGTGAAGGGATTTAGGGAAACTGGTTAGCCACTGTACTTCTCACCTGGAGGTGGGAAGTACAGTGCTTGCACTCTGACGGAGGGGTGAGGATGATATAGCTTAAAGGGGTATCTGAGCTGTAATGTCATAACACTTCTGGCAAGAGTGATTGGATGAATGACAGTGAAAGTGTTTTTTTTTTTCCCTTCTTTTTTGGGTCACTCTACCTTGATGGGAGAGGGCTGATGTATAAAAAAAATTATGGTAAGTGTGCTTATTAGTTACAAACTCACTCAGCCTAGTATATTGTTGCAGAGTATTGCACTCCCGAAGAACTGTTGTATAATATTTGTGAAAATTAGCATTGTGACTAGTTTCTAGTGCAC